GATGCCAGGCCTTGTACTTGCCTGGTCTTTGTTGCTTATCTGGTCATCCTGGGTTTGGCGCATGGCCAATCTGACACAAAGTACCTTTGAATGCCTTAGTTTTCCACCACACTCCTAGTCCTAGTCAAATGACAGTGTGAATGTAGGCTCAAGAGGTCAAAGCCTGGCTCAGCTTCTTGGTAGAAAGTCAATCTAAATAAGCCTTTATAAGCCTTAATTTCCTCATCTATAACAGTACCTATCCCACGTGTGGGGAGGATAAATAAGATAATCTATGTAAAGCCTTTAGATAATGCCTAGCCCACAGGAAACATTCAATAAATATTAACAATTATTAATCATTATTTCAAATAATTTAATTTATTATCATTCCCCATAATTCTTAATCATGCTAATTCTTCATACAGTAGGGAAAAAACCCAACTTTTTCAAAAGGAGTAATTCTGGAGGAATACTCAGTGGTGTGTGACAACAAGGTATCATTGGATCCTCACTTCTTAACCCGCATTCTGTTTTTTTATGTTTAATGTATAATATAAAGCTCATTGAAAAGAAAATAATATTTCTATCATTAACTGTGTTCAGAATAGAAAGCTATTTGCTTAAACTGTTGAGACAGAACTTTTAAGGGTAATTATACTGACTTTGATACTAAGAGTTATATTTTTTACCATACGGTTATACTTCAAATGTAGGTTTAAAAAAACTTAGTAGTCATCCATAATTACACTGTGGTATGTGTTAGAACAACTATATTATGATATAAATATTTTAAAATTATATCACAAAATTTATCAGATTATTTATCAATAAGCAAGACTGTCCTCAGTTAAATTACTGTAAACCACCACAGCAAAACAACTGAAACCCAGAAAATAGGAACTAAGTGAAATGGAAGATGTATAATAAACATTTGGGAGATATGGAATTCATCCCATGAGTGTTGTAAGGAGCTCATAATTTAAGAATGCCAAAGCCCAAGTGTGTTATGAGGGTCTCTTTCCTCAAAAGTGACATTAATGGCATATCCCACAGATACATATTATGTATTCTATTTATATTGAAGTATAAAATGTAGTCAAAACTATACAGATTCAATATATTTAAGGGTGATAATAAAACACAGTTACTCTGGCCTAGCAAAATTTGTTATTTTTAAACTTAAATTTTTGGTGTCTTTATAAAATAGTATTATAGTATTAAGTGAAAACAGTACTGAATCCTTACATTTGAATCTGTTGCGATTAAGGGTCTTTTGGACTCACAAGTCCGTACTCAGGGATGAAATTGTAATACTAATATTTTAGAGGGTTTTGCACAAAAATAACCCCTCTCAGCGATGAAATCACAGGACACACTTATTTTTATGCTAAAATATAAAGATACCAAAAAAACATTTCTTAAAAATTACCTGGGAAAGTTGGAAATAATTTAGTCAATGTTTTACTTTGGAAATTAGCATGCATTAATAGGCCCCTACAGAACTTAATTTTTAAAAAGTCTAACACACATCAATAATTGGCAAATAAAAGACAACTCAAGATGCTAATTATTTGAATTAAAGCAAGAGGAAGATCATTCTAGGTGCAACAGGAGTAATCTTTCATAAAGCTAATTAAAACTACTGTGTAAATTACTTTCATGAAATATTATTTTATAATATCACATACAAAGTATTGAACATTTAATTGCAAATTAACTTTGTTTAACCTAAATAGTAAGTTGATCTAAAATTTCCTAACAGAAAAACCAGCTACAATTATCCAGGGAATAATGCACTTAAATACATAAAATAATAGCATTAATAAGCAAGTTATATAACATTCAAGATTTCATGGGCACTTATTCCCATATTTCAAGATAAATAGCATCAATTTATTTAAAACTAAGATAAGCTAATTTGGAATGACTTTAGCCAATGTTGGTACAATTAATATTTTTGCACTAATTATTAATTCTAACTTTGTTAAATAAACTTATCAGCAAAATGCAACACCTATGTTTACATACGGCACATCTGGCACATTGGCCACATCAGGAGACTTTCACATATATTGTCTTACAAAAATCAGGACAAAAACTACTTTTAAAAATGGAATAATTTCAAAATCTTTTACTTAGTGATAATTATAACCCTATTAGAAAGCAGATTTAAATAAATTTTAATGCATAACATAAATATTATCTATCAAATGACATACATGCAACCATGCAACTGCTAAAGATTTACTGAAATTAGAAACCTGGACTAAATATGGGGTATAATTTCACCTTGCTAACACTTTCCCCACCATGTAAACATACAGCTATGATTTACTACCCATTCTATACAAGTTGTTGGTAGTGACAACATTTTTCCATTGGTGCAATCATTATTAACATTTTTATCATATTGTTTTCTAATTTTGTTAGAAGATTTAGTATACAAGAAAATATTTGCTTTGCTTGAAAATCAAAATTCCATTAAGAAAAAACACTTGGCATGCAAACACACATTTCAGAAGATGTAATTATGGATCCTGATGTTACCCTGAGGAAGAGTAGTTTTTATTAACTGAAAATTGATTATTTTATATTTGTCCACTTGATGATAACTTACTCAAAGTATAAACTAATTGTTTTCAAGGATTAATATGGAATACAAGCCTAAATTACCAACTTTCTTCCAACTAGAATAGACAGCAGCATCAGCAATCATTTAGATTAATATTATTTGTATAATATAGAACAAAACAAAATATTTCAACTTATTTCCATGAGATTCAAACCTACAATATTTATTAGGTTCAAGGACATAAAATTATTGTGGAAAATTGCTATGACCTGTTGCTAAAAGTTTACCCTCAACTTCTATACTATTCTCTTTAGAAGCACTGATCTAAAGGTTAGTTATTATGTACGTAAGTAGAAGGCTGTACGCTTTAGTGAAGAAAACATACAAAGCCACAGCCAGAAGTGGAAAGGTTCATGAGTCACATGGTACAGCATATTCACAGAGCCATGACATCCTAATTAAGCGATGGTAATGACAGAAAATGATATCAAAAGCATTGTCAACATTTAAGTAAACCTTTACTACATTCTGAGTACTAGGATTTTTGTACATTGTGATTTAATTGTCACAGGCACCCTATGAAGTAGGTACCTATTTTTCATCTCCATTTTACAGATGAAAAAACCAAGGCTCAAAGTGGTTAAACAGACCTGTTTCATTTCAAAGCCCATGCTTCTAACTGCTATTTTATATTATACTCATTATATTCTTTGGCCTCAAAGAGTCTAACAGTTATCAATAGGAAATACACAGGTGAGTAGTATAACTTAGGGTAGCATAAAGACATAGGAAAATTCAGCCAGATTGGCCTTTCATGTGCTCCCACAAACAGTAACAGCAAAATCAAATTTAATAAATGAAATAAGTAAAATCCTCGCACTATAAAATGTAGTGCAGACCAATTGAGAGAATGAGCGATTTCTCCAAATATTAAAAAATACATACATTTTTAGATGATGCAGATGAGATTCTGTACAAAAATAATGAGATAAATGAGTCAGCTAGGGTTACTGCAAGCCCTGGTATTGAGTACTGCTGAGAAATAAAGTTGAAAGGATTAAGAGTAATTACATCATGGATCATGAATTTTATTGGGAAGGTGCTGGTCAGATGTCAAAGAAGGTCTATGAATCAATATGATGAAGAAAAACCTGATGAAAACTAATGTCTGAAAAGGAAACTAGAACACAGTGGTTACAGAGCCTCTGCTTTGATCCCAAACTTTTGATTTGTCTGAAATTCTCTGCAATTCAAATAATAGATTCATATTTATTGAGCATTTACTCTGTACATCTCAATAACATCCTCCCAATTTTCCATGTTCTACCTAGCTGAGAGAGAAGATTTGCAGGAAATATCTACCAAGGAACTGGCTAGCACTAGAAATAAATGTTCTATTGTTTCAATAAAAAGGATCCTTTTGTTGTCTGTAGCAGAACACAACTAATTCACCTTTACTAAAACCACTATCTAGTTCGCCTATTCACCTTATATGCCAGTGAATGAATACACATACAAACACCCACGCATCTAAGGCTCCCTATTCTTCTGCTGTAGCATGTTATAGAAATTACATGGCTGAAGAAGACTAATATATTATGTTCACTGTGAGGGACATTTATCTTACTTTTAGAAATGCAGTTTTGAGGGTAGAGCAGATTACCACACAATAAAATGGAAAGAACGTGGATATCTTATAGGATTGTCTGGGTTTGGGGCTGGCTTCATGTGTGCATGACCTGTGCAACCCTGCACTTCTTAGAAGGCTTGTTTTTTTTTTTAAAGCTTGGCACCTGAGCTAACACCTGTTGCCAATCTTTTTTTTTTTTCTTTTCTTCTTCTTCTCCCCAAAGCCTCCCAGTACATAGCTGTATATTTTGGTTGTGAGTGCCTCTGGTTGTGTTATGTGGGATGCCACCTCAGCATGGCTTGATGAGTGGTGACATGTCCACACCTAGGCTCCGAATGGCTGAAACCCTGGGCCTCCAAAGTGGAGCGAGCAAACTTAACCACTTGGCCATGGGGCTGGCCCTAGAATGCTTGGTTTAATGATATGCTGTTATCACCTTGAAATTCTTATTAATTTTTTTTTTTTTTTAAAAAGGGGCCATTCATTTTTATTTTACACTGGGCTCTGCAGATTATGAAGCCAGTCTTGCCTGGATTTGAATTACGACTTTACTGTTTTATACATATAAACTTAGTGTAAGCTTTAGTTTCATCCTGTGTACAAAGGTGTCGCACTCAATTAGCAGGACTGCTGGGAGTATTAGATGAAATACGGTTACGTGAACGTAATGAGTATGGAGCCTGGCACATAGGACACAAGAAAGATATGAAATGAAATGGAGCCTCCACAGTCCTTGCTCTTCTATGGATCTGAGACATACAGAAACCACCATAAGTCAAAATTAAGTGTAGCTGAAATTTAAACTTTAATACTTACAACCCATATATCTGTGGTGCAATTTCTAGTCTGTTCAAGTGCATGTAAAGCTCAATATCATGCTTCTTCAGCAGGTGATCCTGGATCTGGTTGACTTTAGTAACAATAGCAATTGTTGGCCCTAAATCCTGAGGTCTAGCAAAGGGGATGGGAGTCATCACTGTTTCTTTCCCCTAAAAACAGGAAAAATGGAACATGTATTATTTCAATATGAAATTAACAAATATATGGACATCATTCCTGAATGTATTTACCATTGGGAATTTAAATAAGAACCAAGAACTACTTTAACCATCTTGTGACAAATGAATGTGGAATCATATGCTGACTGTCATATAGATGATTGTGCTCATAAAGTAAAGGCCAGGAAACGCCTTCTGAAATATTTTCTACCTATATTCCCTTGACCAGTTTCTCTGGTGACATTAAGTATTACAAGATAATTTTGGCAGAAGCAGTGGTACTTGCCCATGGCCACTGTTTGTCTAATTAGCCATAGTAAACTAAATGGAATACTCTGACGAAAACATATTTCTTGTGGCATAAAACTTAAAGATAGTAAATGAAAACTTTTAATTTGAGCTCTCAAAACTATAAGAAAGTCAAGAAATAAAGGAATGGCCAACAGGCACATGAAAAGATGTTCAAAATCATTAACTATCAGGGAAATTCAAATCAAAACTACAATGAGATATCACCTCACTCCGGTCAGAATGGCTATAATTAACAAGACAGGAAACAAGAAGTGTTGGGGAGGATGTGGAGAGAAGGGAACCCTTGTATACTGCTGGTAATGCAAACTGGTGCAGCCACTATGGAAAGCAGAATGGAATTTTCTCAGAAAATTAAGAATAGATCTACCATATGATCCAGCTATTCCACTGCTGGGTATTTATCCAAAGAACTTGAAAACACAAATGCATAAAGATACATGCACCCCCTATGTTCACTGCAGCATTATTCACAACAGCCAAGACTTGGAAGGAACCTAGGTGCCGATCAAGGGACGAATGGATAAAGAAGATGTGGTATATATACACAATGGACTACTACTCAGCCATAAGACACGATGAAATCCAGCCATTTGTGACAACATGGATGGACCTTGAGGGTATTATGCTAAGTGAAATGTCAGAGGGAGAAAGTCAAATACCATATGATCTCACTCACAAGTAGAAGATAAAAACAACAACAAACACACACACAGCAACAGAGATTGGATTGGTGGTTACCAGAGGGGAAGTGGCGAGGGAGAAGGGTGAAAGGGTGATTAGGCACATGTGTGTGGTGATGGACTGTAATTAGTCTTTGGGTGGTGAACATGATGCAATCTACACAGAATTCAAAATATATTACGATGTACACCTGAAAGTTATATAAAGTTATAATCCAATGTTACTGTAATAAATAAATAAATAACATTTAAAAAAAAGATAGGGTTGCACAGATATATTCCATAGAATTTAAAAATTATTAGTTTATCTCAGTTTTCAAAATTAAATAATATTTCTTTAAAAGTTGTTAAACAGAGAATGGCCACTCATTTGTGAAAAGTTACATGGACAAATCTATTCCAAACGAAAAAATTAAAATTAACTAATAATTCCAAATTAAAAAAAAAAACAAAATAAAGGAAACTAGTACTAGAAAAGATGTTCTCTAACTGTCCTTTGATCAATTTACATAGCTGAGAAGAAAGATTTGAAAACGCTCCAGACCAAAAGTAGAGTTGACTTAAAAAAAAATCCATGTGGGCCAATTACAAATTTCCTTCCTGCCATCCCACATCCCACATTAAGACAGACATATCTGTAACGCCTTGTAACGCTTTCATGAAAACTTCAACTACCTCCTCAAATCTGACAATTTCTCCTTAATGTATCATGTCTGACTTTTCTTCTAATGTTCAGTCCTAAAGTTCTACTCTCTGCAACCTTGGGATTTATAGCATTTCTCTCTCATGATTGTCTGCTTACCATTCATCCTAGCTCAAATTCTTGTTTCTGTTTCACAAATGCTGCTTTTTCATACAGTTCTCATCTTAGTTTTAATCTCTACTTATATGCAATTTCTTGAGTGATCTCAGTTCTACAAAGTGCTTTAACCAAGACTCATTTTCCAAAGATTTCCTAGTCTGTATTCATAACACAGAACTCTCTTGAGTGGCTCTCATACATTCAAATGTTGGCAAGGAATCTTAGATTGCCAAAAGGGTCTCTAATTCAGCAGGCCCACAACTGCGCTTATCACCGTCTGATCAAAAACATGTTCATCCTTTCCCCCTGCCTGTCTCAACCCGTCCTCCAATAAGAACACCTACTTTGCCAATTTCAGCTCCTCAGAACTGCTCAGAGGACTCTGATACGTCTCATCTTCCACAGTCCTATTGTAACAATCTGATTGGGGGCCCTAATTCTTTCTTTCCTCCTAACTGGTCTCGCTGCCCCTAATTTAGTCTGCTTATTAAATCCATCTTCCAAATGCCTGGTGATCTACCCAAAGCAGATATTAGATTATATCAAATCGTCCTCCTAAAACCTTTTTAGTAGTGCTCCATTATTTTCACTCAGGGAAAAAAAAAAGAACAAATTCTTTAGCCAGGTCTACAAGGCCTTTCAATACCTGGCCGGCCTCTCCTCTCACTCTGCTCCAGGAGCTCCTGGGGATGCTGTTCTTTTACCCGAAACCCAGTGTTTCCACTGAGAAGCTCCCAGTATAAAGATTTGGCTCAAGAACCAGGTCCTATTTCACTATCTTCTTCTTCTGTGCTACCACAGTATCCTTTTCTACCTCTCAGCCTTTCAAACTATGATACTCCAAAAGGAATACCATCTTTCAATCACTGGACCAGATCCAGGGGCACAAAGTTAAAGAGGGTAAAGTTCTTGCCCTCTTACTCTGGACGGGAAGACAACAAAGAAAAAAACTTAGAAACTTCTACCTAAGAGCACGGACTAATGAGGGTAGCAGAAGGCAGAGACAAGAGGAGGGGCAAGTGTCAGCATAAGAGAAAATTTCTTGGAAGGGGTTCCATTTGTCTTTCCAGGATCATTTCAGGTCTTAGAAGGAATGTAGTCCTTTGAATTTCCTACAGTGTCTGCCCCAGTGTCTTTAGGTCCAAAGGATATAGGTCCATATTAATTTTTATTGCTCAATTAGTTTGTGTTAATTTGTATAGAGAGGAGAAAAGAAAACCTCTAATATTGTGGTCATTTATTATAAAAACAGTACATCCAAGACAACTTTTTCTGATTTTGTAATATCTAGTATTCTCTTTAAACGATAGGACCTTTTAATTAAAAAAGATTTCAATTCTTATTGAACCTTTTTCCTAATAATATTAACTTAAAATAATATTTTTGGAATTCATGTTAATTGTAAGATACCATTCATATTTAAAAAATAGTGTTTACTCTGAAGCCAAATTTCCTTTAAAAATGAGCAATTCAACATGTTATGTATTTTGGTCATGCAGTTTTTCTTTAATGAAGAAACTTGCGTGGCTGAATACCAGAAAGTGTGGGGTGGAAGCACCGAGCTCAGATAAGGTTTCTAATAATCACATGGAAACCACGTCACTGTATGTAGTCATCTCCTAAGGGTCTTGAATAATCATATTTCTAGAGAGATAGAATCACTGGCTTTGGAGAGAACTGATCCTAAATTAACCTGTTAAAAAATGTTTAACTTAGTGAAATTATATAACAATTTCTAGATTGAATAAGTTGTCATTAAATCAACAGCATATGTAGCGCATTTTTGAAATACTTTAATAGAGACGTATGTGTAGTCTAACAACCACAGGCTTGAAAAGATTTCCCCCGTGCTCAGAATACTTATAAAAAAATCTCTTAAATTTAGGAAACTCAAAAGTAATGTTCATGATCATTTAAATGCTAAACAGTTTAGCTTATCTAATAGTAAAATCAAAAGAGAAGATAGAATTAATGCAAAATACTTCCTTATCTTCAAGATTTCATATCATAATAAAGAATGTTATTTGCATTTAACAAATATGATCAAAGGGACAGCTACAACTACCAATAAAGTCAGAAAATCTGACTAAGTGGTACTCAAAATGTGGTCTGTAGATCAGTGTCAGTCCACAAACAGTTATAGGAATGTAGTGAATTCATGATTTTACGTCATTATGTAAATCAATGCACTGCTTCCTTCATCAAGAAAGTCTTATTATGAAAAGTATGTCTGCTGGTCTAGGCAGCAAGCATAGTGATATAATTGAATTTTTAAAGGAACTAGAAGGACTGCATGAAAGAGTGGCATATTAATTTCTCAAACTTCTTTTAAAAAAGTGACATAATCATGAAACAGAATAAAAAGGTAAGAATGAAAAGCAGATTCGCTAGACATGCTTTTTAGGAATGTATTACTCTTTGATATCTGGAAATAATTAATACAAATGTTCAGAAGTCACATCTATGTGTTCCTCGATAAAATGAATGTTTTTCTTTGTGTTGTCCTAGCCATTTTCATGAACTTGAATCAGTGATATCAATATGAATAGGTAAAACTGAAAAATGGAAACCCTCACATTTTTATCATTCAGTTTCTCAGATACTGTAGTTATAAAATACAAAATAACCATGACATGAAATTATCATGTTTTTATTTAAATGTATTCAAATACTTTCTGCTCAAAATACTGATGTTCAACTAAGTCTACAACTTCATCAAATCATCTGTCAAGAACAAAAAAGTTATTGTTCCAAAACAGAAAGTAGTTCGACACATATGCTTACAACAAATTTCACCTCTAATAACCCTTATAGAATGTAACATGTTGAAATATTGCAGAAGGAAGACTATCTGGGGTCAGGAGACTCTCTCTATAAAAAGTCAGACAGTAAATATTTTAGGCTTTACAGGTCATACAGTCTGTGTTGCAACTACATAACTCTGCCATTGGAATGAGCAAGCAGCCATAGACAATAAGTAAACAAACAGGCATGGCTGTATCCTAATAAAACACATTTTATGGATATGGAAACCCTAATTCCACATAATTTTCATATTTCATAAAATATTATTTTTCTTTTTATATTTTTTCCAACCATTTACAAATACAAAAGTCATTCTTAACTCACAAGCTGCACAAAAACAGATGGCAGGCAAAATTAGCCTACAGAGAGTAGTTTGCCCTGACCTAGACCAAAGGCACAAAAAGCATTAGTTACCTATTTCATTTTTTAAGAGATGGAATGAAGAAACTGAGTAATACATGGTTTCTAACCAGAATGCAATTAATTATATCAATATAAAAGAAGCTAATCATGTACAAAATAATATGCCAAAAACTTTTAACAATATCCCTTGCAAAAGAATTTGCAAGTTTCCCAATATTGTGTAATAATATTCAAAAGACCATAATGATCTCTAAGTTAGCATATATGTTTGTTTAAAATGCCAGTTAATACATCAATTCTACTCCGAGAGATATGCCTAGAGAACTGAAAACATATGTTCACACAAAAGTTTGTAAGCAAATGTTCATAGCAACATTATTCTTAACAGCCAAAAAGTGAACAGAACCCAAATGCCCATCAACTGCTGTATAGATAGATAAACTGTGGCATATCCATACAATGAAAAGTTATTCAGCCATGAAAAGGAATGAAGTACCCATGCAGGCTGCAAGATGGATACACATTGAAAACATTATACTAAGTGAAGGGAGTCAGTCACAAAGGTCACATACTGTATGATTTCATTTATATGAAATGTCCAGAATAGCCAAGTCCATAGAGATAGAAAGTAGATGAGTGATGTCAAAGGCTCTGGGGAGAGGGAAATGGGGAGTGACTGTTAATGGGTGCGGGATTTCCTTTTGGGTGATGAAAAGGTTTTAGAATTAGATAGTGAGGACGTTTGCATAATCTTCCGAATATACTAAAAACTATGAAATTGCACACTTCAAAAAAGTGAATGTTATGGTATGTTAATTATATCACAATAAAAATTACAGCTAAAAAATAAGGATAAGAGACTAAGGATAAACGGTATTGATGCTAAATGTGCAAATTCAATAGAGATGCATTAGCAAAAGTAAAACAACCTATTTGATACAGAGTTTATCTATGTACTTCAGTATCAATCTGTCTTTAACTAGGAAAACAACAGATTAAGTGGATTAATGCATTTATCACTCAAATTTGTTATAATTTTAAGAAGTTATATTGTATGGATAATATACATACATATAAAAGAAAGTTTCTATTTATTTACAAGAAATTTTTTATCTTTGGATATCTGCCAATATTATCAGAGATATGGTTTAGATCCCCAGTTCAATCTTATTCCACAGGTATTTTTATGTTTTCATTTTTTTATAATAATAATTATGGCTTTATTCTCTGACTATATGTTGTTACTTACTGAAATCATTTGTTCCCTCAAATATGTTAAAAAGATTTGACTATAAGAGTTACCTTTTGACCCTCATGTTCGAAAGTAGAAAACCAAGGTTCAGCAGTTTCCATAAGTTGTGAGAACATGGCACTAAAAATTAGAAAAATAATATAATGCTAATGTTAAACTTTTATTAAAGTAAAGATGGTATAAAAAATAAAAATAATAGAAAACTTTTGTACTTACTAGGCATCATGTTCCAGATACTCAGGGTTCAAGAGAATTTTCATTTCCTCACTTAAAAAAGCAATACAAGCAATCAAAATGTGTAATTTTTTAATTGAAGGAGATGCAGAGATTGCTTTTTTTAATACTCGTAAGCCAACTTTCATACAATGTGCAAATGAAAAAAATTGCTTTTTTTTAATAAAAAGAGCAACTCTATTAACAAATAAAATTCTTTCTATAAAGATCAAAAATAAATTAGCTGCCTTGTCTATACCACAGTGAGGTAACTACCTAATTATTCCAAATAAACACAGAATATGACAATATATTCCTTGAATGCGCCTGATCTAGAATAAATTGATTACTCCATAATCTATCACTTGTTGTCCAAAACAAAAGAAAAAAATAGTTACTACTCAAATACACCACATCAAGACATTAATCTATTTTCTTTTAATGGCTTTCATTCTTATTATATTTTAACATCAATTTATCAGTGACAGCACCTCTTCCAAATCTATTTTACTGTTGCTTTTACTTTTAAATGAATTGAAACAGCTCAAGAACTATGTCCAACTTATTTAAAAGCTATTCTCAATCATCTGTACTCTCCAGTGGAGTATATTCTGCATACAGGTTTTAAAAAAGATAAAACGGGCATGAAAACAGGATCCCAGTACTAACTTCATCCTTATCATACTTTAGAATATCAGAAGCAAAGGCAATTAAGATATGGTTACTACAGTCAGATCCAATAAACTTAGGAAAATTAGAAAAACTCAAAAGGAACTAGAAAATACTAATCTATAATATAATAAACAAAAGGTAACTTAACAAAGGCCCAACATATGTTCGAAATGGATGGCCACATTTGACTAATAAAGATCATATAAACACATGAAATGTTATGTGTTAATTTTTTATTTTCTGCATATAGATGAGCTAGCCTATGGAATAATCCTGACAAAATTTTATAATCCCACAGCTCTTCATTCCCAAAATGCTTCCTGGTCACCTCTCTGGCCCATCAGTTAGGGTACCTCAAGACAGAAAATAAATTCTAACAATTAGCCTAAGTTAAATAAAATTACTAAAGTTATTTGATGGAAAGAATAAATTAACCTATCTCAAAAACATGAGGAGACATTTTTGTTCATTCATGGACTGGGGCTCTTTGTGGTACTGTTCTCTTCTTTACAAAGTGAACTGATTCAAACCTGGTGAGGAGAAAGTATCTCACAGGTAAGCTTCTCAGGCAGCTGGTAGTGAAAGAATGGGTCATCAGAGGATGGTATACATGAATATTATCAATCATTAGCACTTTGCCATCGCAACAAAAATTTCTTCCTCTTGATCTGTTAGTTCTATGTCTTCCTGTAGTATGTATTTAAAATTTGCAAAGACATTCATGATCCCAAATTTTCCCCATAGCTGAACTGGCACTACAACTATGAAGTGGAATTAACAATCAGCCACATGAAACACAACCAAATGTTTACAGTTTACCTTCAATTTAAAAGATTTTGAGGTAAAAAAAGATTACAGCAGGGCTGAAAAAACAGATGGAGTTCATATAAAAACTTGCCTTGGTTGTGCAGACTCACTGGCATGAAGAAAAGCTTGGTGGTCACAGTGGAGAATAAAGATTATAGGTGCTAACAGCTCATGCATGCCCTGAAACATAACAGCAAAAGAAATAAAAGGAGTGGATGTTGCGAGTCTACTAGTGGCCAGAACAAGCTCAATTTAACGCTTCTTCAACCAATCCCTGCCACCAACATTTCCATACTATCTAGAAAGGCATAAAAATGAAAAGCTACAAATGAGATTTTATCTACTTTTAGAATTTGATTCCAATTCAACCACAGCACGTATTCTTCTTTAAAACATGGAGAGCAGTTCTCTTTTAAATGACACAACAAACAATAAATTGGCATGGTAGACAACCTTGCACCTGTCAGTTGCTTCAAGATCTGTACTCATAAATATGAATTTCATTTATGCAAATTATAATCATGAGCTACAGTATAAAGATCTGCAGTAAGAAGGGCAACTAAGAACTGTAGACCTAAGGAAATTACATCCAATGTTTTCATTATATAATGGGTCAAAATTAGGATGTCTGTAGATTTAGGAAGAGCTGAAGTCAGCTAGCTGGAAATGTTGGATAATAAAAGAAACAACCTTCAGCAGATATGACTGAAAACAAAGTTTTTAAAGTATGATTTCCAACATGTTTAATCAGAAGATTATAAATTCTTTCCCTGTATATTTCAACTACAAGGTTACTTTTCTATTTATTTAGTGATTTCACCAATATTATTTTCTTTTTCCTCGTATTTGTGTTCACCTGTGGATTACATGAATAGGCATAAAAACAAAAAGGTGTATTAGTTACTAAGTTTTCTTTAAAAGAATATTATAGAAATCTATTATTTATCCTTTACTGTCAAGAAATAAGGTATTCCACATCAGTGACTTGCCTTGTTAAATGAGATTTTCCCCCCTTAAGCATCAAGAAACGTATTTTAGCAAGTTAAAAATATTCCGTTCTGCCTCTTAAAGTGACTAAATTATCATTTTCCTGTTGCTTTATTACTATGGATGATCTTTTATTAAAAAAACAAGACAAAACACCACATTTATAGAAAATAAAAATAAACTATAGACGTACAGAGAAGAGATAGTTGTTGCTGGGGGAGTTAGAGTGACCTCCTGGGATGGAAGGACAGTCACGGAACCCTCTGCTCGGTCTAGCAGTGCTATGTTATTCTTAGGAAGCTAGTTATCACAAAGTAATACGAAAGTAAACTATCAGAGTTCATTTATAAGTTATCACTAGCCTTGAATTTGAAGGACTTAGTGACATTTTTACAAACTAATTTATGATCTATTGACAATTTACCTGTGATTTAGGACAAATCACCACAAATTACTTCAATCTTTCTAGACAATCATCTCCTTACTAAACAAACCTTGAAAAGACTACCCCTTAGAAGACCATAGGAAAGACCCAGAAATAATGGAATTAAGTGTTGCTGAGTATGCTTTAAAATCATCCTGAGGGGTTTATTCTCCTGAAATAATCTCAAGTTATTCCAAAAACCAAGAGCCATCATTTTAATCATCAAAGTAACAGCTACTTATTGTAGGAAACTACAGAAAAGAAAACAGAAAAAAGAAAAAGCCGCGGGAAGGAAGGAAGCACTAAAAAACAAAAGGAAGCAAAAATTAAACACTGTGATAGATACCCTTGTGGTAATGTTTTTGCCTATTTCTGACGGTTTCCTTAGGATAAAGTCTCTAAAAGTAAAATTCCTGGGTAAATGAGTAAAGACCTTTGCCAAAGTCTCTGCTACATACAACTAAGCTGCCCTTCACAAAGAATTTCCTGACCCTAGAGCACAAAAATCACAAACTAACACATTCTCACCTATGTTTATAGTGTTTTTAAAAAAAATCCTGTCACATTTCACAAATTGTCGTTTTAGCTTATTTAAATGCTAGTGAGATTGAATGCAAAAATTTTATTGGCCATTTTTATTTGATGAATTGCTTATTTTCTCCTGATGAAGTATTTAATATTTCCTTGTTCTGGATGATTTGCCATAGTTCTTGACCAATTCAAGATATTAACCAAATCATTTTTGTTACAAATACTTTCCCATGTTTATTATGTCTTTTAATCTGGATATCTTATGTCATAGAGAAGCTATATATTTTAAAACAGTTAAATCAACAAATCATCCTTCATGGTTTCTTGTTTTGTTTTCACGCCTAAAAAGACCCTCCTCACACTGAGATTAAGTAAGTATATAGTTTCTTTTTCTACAGTTAATTCCTTACTCATTTAATTCTGCCCTGAAAAATAAATACGTATTTTTTTCTCGCCAAAAGAGTTTAATTTATTGAATAGCCATCATTTAAGGAATAACCTATCTTCTCCCATGAGTTCTGAAATAGCTTTACCATAGACAGAATATTTAGCTCTCATTTTTTCTGGGCTTTTACTGGTATTCCATTGGTTTATACAGTCTTAACAAGAACTTTACTACCGCAATGGCTTGAGCTACAAAATATTCTATTCTTCCATATTTTCTACTCTTTTTCTCAAAATTATTTTTCCTATTCTAACTTAACTTTTCATCCAAACTCAGTATCATTTAGTTACATAAAGTGCTAAACAAAATACTATAATTTTTATTGGCATTGCATTCAAATTAGTTTGAAGAAAATAGATACTTTTAAGAACACCAGACTTTCCAAGGCAAAAATGTGTAGAACTGCATAGTTTTTATTAGATTTATTACTAGGTTTTATTGTTGTTGTTGGTAGTGGTGGCAGTGGAGATCTTCTGAACGGGTCTTTTTCCCCCAATATATTTTCTAATTATGGATGGTTTAATAAGAAAGGGTTCTTGTCCAAATGCATCTTTCCACCTTCTTTAAATGTTCTCTTCCCTCCAGTTTCTGTGATACTACTCTCTCCAGATTCCCCATTGCTTATGTATCATTTGCCTTCATTTATTCCCAAAATTATTTATTAACTACCTATGATGTACCTACCACAAAAGTGAATGAAGTGGGCAAGTTCCTAACCATAACAGAGCTTATAGTCTAGAGAGAAAGACACACAATAATAAAATGAGGAGAGAAGTGACTATACAATTAAAAACTGTGATAGTGATTCATGTGTGTGTGTAGACATACACATATATACACAAAAAAACAGCTCCTACTACAGGTCAGGACATGGTGACTGAATGAATGAAATATCTGCCACTGAGTATAGCAACACATCAGTAAAAGCTGAACTACAATATGAAAAATGGAAAAGAATAACACTAAATCGTATTTCAATATTTCACATCAATAAATAAAGAGGTTCTTTCTATAATGGAAATTAAGAGTTCTCTGAATACCATTAACGCAATCTTTTACAAATTCAGTGTTGACTTCTGACTAAACTAGGGGTATTTTCTCAAAAAGATTTAGAAGAGATTGTTGGTTTTGTTCTCAATTCTAGACTAGTAAAACCCGTGGCAAGTATATAGACTAGTAAAACAAGTGGCAAGTATATAGACATCTTTAAAGGAAAATAAATCTGTGAAGAATGATCATAAATTCAATATGCTGTAAATTTGACAAAGCATGACAAAAAATAATGTATTATCACTATACTTTTTGGGTCCCAAAATGTGTATTTTGCTTCTATCTACATTGTCAGCATTTCTGCTTGCCTAAAGCCTTTATCCCTGCTGGATCGTTAGTAGTCACTCCATTCCAAACTCATGCCAGTTGAAAATAAAGGTAACGAAGTTTTCTTCATCAACAGCCTGTAGGCTCACAAAATTGAACCTGTTCTTTTATCTGCCTGTGTTCATTTAGCCCACCAAGCAGTCTTTATTAAAGCTGAGGCATCAGGCAGTCAAAGTTCATTAATACCATTTATATAATCTCTGCAGTTTCAATTAACTCAGCAAGACATTCTAGTACATGATAACAGTCTCATTAATTCAATAAAATCCCATAACTATTAACAATATGGTCGATGTTAAACGGGGTGTCACCTAGTACAAAATAATAGCTTTAACAGCTTGTGATGAAACTCAAGGTTTTTTCTTAAATTTGATCTGGCTAAATATTCAGTCCTTCTATAGCAAGATACTATTTCTATGTAAAGAATCTGTAGGATTTTAAACATGCACAGGGAGTAATTAAATCTTACTAAGTTATGCCCAGGAGTAAGTTAATACGTCCTTATTCAGTAAGTGACAGACTTTGTCTAAATTATCAAGAATCTGATCCACATATTCCTGTTTAATCTTCCTTACAAATGCAGTGGGCCACATACATCACAAATGATACAATGTGCAACTATTATGTTTCTGTTCCTTGTCTGTGGAATTTGTTTTCATTATTATAAGACTTCCTTGATCTAGGTTGTTTCTTTCTCTAAAGAAAAAGGAAAACAAATGTATAACTTGGGATAACTGTATCCTCACTTTATTCACTATCATCAAATCTTTTACTGTGAGGTATTTTCAAATATTTGAAAGAGAAGAGGGGACAAGGAAGAGATAGGCTTGATGACAAAAGCCAACACAATGACAAGAGAACAGAAAAACAGAAATTAAACCTGGATCATTGATGAAGAGTCTGAGCTCCTGAACTAACTAACGCTGCAGGACCATTTGGCCCTCAGACTTAATTAACATCCTTAGAGTTTAGTCATTTTGAATGAGATTTTCTGGTATTTTCTTCCAAAAATTCTACACTGATCGATTTATTTTCTCCCAATCTCCTTTTCAGTTTGTTTGTTTTCAGCCTTTGGACTTTGTATCTGACTTCTATACAGCCTATCTTGCTTGGGAAGGCCATTGCTACCCTGAGACTATAAAAAATTCTCCTAAATTTTTTCTAGTATTTTTACATATTTTTAGTTTTTTTTACATTTGTATCTTTATTCCATCTAGAATTTATTCTCCAATAAAGGTATAATTTAATCTTTTCTAGATGGAAAGCCAAATACGGCAAGTCAATATCCTTTTCCCCTTTGAATGAATACATCTTATTTTATCATATTAAGATCTTATATATAACTGGACCTGTTCTTAGCTTGTTCCACTCATCTATTTGTTGATTCCCACACTGGCATCACATTGGTTTGATCAAAGAATCTTTATAGAAGTTTTCATATCTTCCTTTGCCATTCTCCCCTTCTCCTAAATTCTGTGGCAACTCCAACATATTTAATAATGATGATGATAATAATAATAACCACAACCACCAACAGGAATCCTTACTGAGCACCATATATTTTTAACTCTACAAAGTCAATACTATTATTGGCCTCATCTTACAGATAACGAAACTGAGGATTAGACAAGTTAAGTAAGTAAATTGCCTAAGATTATGTAGCTAGCAAATGGTGGAGCTGAGATTCCAAGAAAGGGATTTGAGTCTAGACCTAGTGCTATATTCTCGCCATTAAAATTACTGTAAAGCTTTATGGCACTAAATTTAACATAACTGTGTCCAGTTTCTAAAAAGCACATTTCTCACTGAGATGATCACTGGAATGATAATACATTTATATATTAATTTGGGAAGAAGTAATATTTTTATTTAATGTCTTCCCATCTAAAAATATGCTATCATTTTTCTATTTATTCAACTTTTGCTTTATATCCTTCAATAACGATTATATTTTTCTCCATATAGCCTTTGTACCTATATTGTTAAATTTATTTCTAGACACTTTATAGTTTTAGTTGCTATTATGAATGGGATATATTTTTTCCATTTCCCATTCTAAAAGGTGATTATCATCATGTAAGTAATAGAAAGAAATATTACTTACATTAAAACTAAGATAAAATTAGTTCCCTTGGGTATTCTATATATACAATAACAAAGGCATTATTTAGGACAATTATCATATGACTTGGTTTATTATCCTTAAACCAATCAAGTTTATTTCAAACTAAATTCATTGCTCTCATCATACAGGTATTTTCTGTTATATTTCTTGGAAATTAGGTAGTAATTAGTTGGATATATGTCTTCAGTTGGATTGCTAGAGAATTTATTAATTTAGTTTGAATTGTCACTTAATACACATTTGGAGAAATACACAAAAATATCTAGCTTTGTGTATTTTTTTTTGAACACCATAGCTTAAATAGAAACCTAGATATTTCTTTATATATTAAGTAAATAATTTACATTTCAATAAAAATAAAACATAATCCAACAATCTTCTTTGCTTTAGTAATGGGATAAATCAAACATCAGGATCACAAAGAATATTATATAAATTTCAAAAAGGTTAAATGGACTTTTAGAAGTTATATTACTGGTAAATTTTAAAGAGTAAAAGGACACAATTATCTTTTACATGGCATGTCCCATATTTAGAAATGCTATACTTACAAACAATATTTATATACACGACTCTAAAAAGTTTTATTACTAGATTGGCTTCAAAGACGCTGTTTATAAACAAACTCCCAAAAGTTGAAAGAAAAGATTGAACACCTTATAGAAGACAATTTGGCGGAATGTCTTCTAATAAGGAAGAAGCATATGTGCTTCAATGAGCTTACTCTTCTCACCATGCAGCTGACAAGCAGCTCTTTGATTGCTTTACTATTATGATACAACTTTGGATACAATAAAGGCTACATTATTGCTCTATCATTTGTCAAGCTGTATAGAAAATTTTGAGTCAATGGATGCCACCTGTAAGATATTTTCATTACCTGTTTATAAAGCAACTGCTCGTTTTCTCTAGCATAACAGAAAAGAACATCTGTAAGAATTTTTCTCACATTTTCTTGTTGGAAAAACTGCATTTCAGGAAACCTGTAAAAAGAAAACACAGGACTGAAACTGACTAGCACTATTTCAAGAATTATCCTCAAACACTCATCTCTGAGAGGTGCCCAAGGGCTGCTTTAGGTTTTAGTACAAGCCTGTATTCGTCATGCAACTTATATCATTGGTGGGACTGATATGTTAAAGCAAAAAGGGTGAGAAACAAAAAACTATTATTTATGTCCCAGAGAGAAATGATACCCTTCAACACTGAAATATTTCAAATGTCTTCATATGCTTAAAGTCATCACGTGGTGAACACAATGGTTTTTAAGCAAAGTGAATTACAGCCTACTTATTTGGGGTGGGGAATTGCTTTGTTTTAGCCCATTTGGTTTTTAGGACTTGATCGTGATCATTCAAGTATCAACTTTTTAAAGAAATCATTATCCTTTTTCTTTTTGATGCAAGTACCAGAATTTAAATTATTACACAAGACCATGCTATTAGCTTTATCTGATTAAAATGTAGACTTCAAATGAAACAAATTAGTCAGATTACTTAAATGCTTTCTGGATCAAAAATTCTACCAGGTGCTTTGAGGTAATGTGAAATAGAAAAATGGCCGAGTAGCCACTTGAAAGGAGCCTAAATCATTGTTTATAATGCAAGAATATACAACTGCAACAACCCAGAGAGCAACTACATAGCAATGCAATACACAACGAATATATAAGGGATGAAGGAATGCCACCTAGAAGTAAACAGTCAAATGACTTCAATCACAAAAGGTTTGAACAAGAACTTTTTGGAGAGGAGGAACATGGAACATCAGTGGGAAAGGTAATCAAATCAGAAGGAAAGATATGAAGGCACAGCAGGCAATAATTATTCCAAGTGCACAGAGTAGTATGGTAATTAGTCATCAGAAAGAAAAGTGACAGGTCTGGAAAGAGCTTTGAATGCCGAATTTACAACTGGGGAAAAGCAAGAGTGACTCAACATTTCTGAATAGCGAAGTAGCAAAGAAAATAGTGTTTGAGAAACTCTAAGTGGGAATAAGCCTGAAAGAAGAGAGATTACAGGAAGGAGCTAAGAGGACATTATAATAAAGTGAAATGGAAAAATTACAAACCTGAGAAGAAAAGCCTATGTTCAAATTCATGTTGCATAATTGCTATGTGTGTAACCTTGAGTAAATGATTGCTTAGCGTCCTCATCTATTAAGTAGGGATAATGATACTGATCTTGTGATCAAGATGAGATAATGTGAAAGCACCAAGAACAGTGCCTGGCAAGTAGCAGATGTTCAGAAAGAGAGGTCATCATTAGTCTTTGAGTACTAGTACTTTAGGTGATGAAGACATGAATAAGAGAATATGTGAGAGACTGCAGAGGAAGAGTAGCTCAAGCATGGAGGCATGGGGCATTCTCCAAACAGAAAACCTCTCCTTAATGAATCTTTTAAACAGCAATAAGAGTTGTTCTTCATATTATAATGGTTTACTGCTTCCTATTTCTGGAGACCTCAGCTGTTTTATGTTTTATTCTGATCCTCTTCTGCCTCCCTGTGAGAGTTATAACTTTCTCTTCAGTCCAGGCTGGGTTCCTGGGTGCACTATGCTAGTGGTTTGTGAAGCATCTCTTTTCTGGTCCTAATTTTTAAAATAAATTAAAGCCTATCTTATTTTCATCTGTTCATTTGACTTTTGTTTGAAATTCCCTTTGATGTGCAATTGTCCCCAAACAAAAATATTTGATCTTTACTGTAGCAGTAAGGAGGCCTGTCTTTTGGGAGCCAGTAATAAACGACCCATGGATCTGGGCATAAACCACCTCTGCATAAACCAATGTGATGACCCTGCATAAATCTTAGGAGGGACAGTCTCTACTCAGCCATGGGAGTTTGACTATGCATAAGTGACCTTAGCTCCTAAAGAAGAGGAAAACTAACCTTAAAGTAAATTCAGAGCAAGAATAACATATCCTAGAAGCCAAAGAAGTTCCACAAAGATGTCAAACACAACTACTTTTAAAATGACTTATCTGGGACAACAGAAAGTTGCTAAAGCCCTTAGAAAGTCAAATATCCCAAATTAAAGTAATCAGGATGAAAGACGGGTAAGTAGTCAATAAACTGCTGAAGAGAAATTTTTTGGGAAAACTTAGTCACCAAAGTAAAAATAAAATCATCCTTTTGAGAGGTGAAGTTGTTTCCTCTTCTAATCCCCACTGGATGACTACAATCTAGCCCTGTCTTGAAGCAGGCTTCACTCCTATGATTTAGATCACAGGTTTAATGACTTTGTGTGTCCCCTTCCTTAACTATTCTTTGGAAATTTTCTATGAACACTGACTCAACCAAATTCTGTGCAGCTGTTGCAGTCTGAATGGATTATGGGAGAAAGTACTAAAAAATGCAACATTCACTTTGTAACAAATATCCATGAACTATATAGTAAAAATTTAATACCTAACTACTAAAAATGTAAATTATATTACATACCAATTCATAGTTTCATTTAAATGCATACTAACCACTTGCAAGATTAAAAACTAGAGATCTACAAGAATTAAATTGCAGGTAGATAATTTAAATTACCCACTTTTAGCAAATACCCAATCAACTGAAAATATGTATTAGGCAGACAGCACATATACGCAATAGCACACCATCGACAATTCCACTTTACAATGCTAAAGTGCCAATTTATGAAGTTTCATGATACCCTCCTTTTCAGAAAAGTATGACTTGTTCTATAAATTCTGACGAAGAATCCATAGTATCAAATAAGTAAGGAAGAAAGGGAAAGGTACTGAAAAATAAAAGTTCATGTTATTTCACAAGTTGGAAAGAGAAGCGACATTCAGAGAAATTTTAAGCTGAAAAGCTTTTGGGGATTACCCTGTCCAACTCAGAAGTTAACAGGTAAGGACTGAAGCAGAGAGGATAACACCTGCCCCAGTGAATCTGGGTGGTTAGCAGGGCATCAGTGCTCTCCAACTGCTTCACTAATTAGTTATAAATGAGTTGGAGACATGCATTTAGGTAAAATTCCATGAGTTTAGAGTTACATAGAAGAACCTCCTAAGTCATAAGGTTGGTGAATATACCTGAATAATAACATTTCTTACAACAAATATTTGATTGTCATATTATCAGGCTCCAAACCAGAAAATATACCATTTATAAGAATCAGAAATAGGAGAGAGAAAAGCACAGTGAATAGCTTTTCTAGGAATAGTAATAATCAGTTTTTGATGATACGTTTTAAGTTTCAAAATAGCTTCCCTGCCATCCATTACACTTCTTAGCTTTTTTTACCCCATGCCATCTGGTGTTGATTCAGGATAGCTAAGGTAATGGGAACATCAGTCTAACCCAAATATCACTGGAAAGGCAAACCTGCTTTTGAAACAATAACAAAAATCACAGAATACAGGCCCAAGCTGAATGTGACAATTGTTCAGATTTTGGAAAATCAGCAGTGACTCTACAGCTTCATGCAAAAAGGAGATACGGTAGTAACTTCATAAATATGAGGTAGACAAAAAAGTTTAGCACTAAAATTATAGAGGTTTACAATTCATTCAAGCTGAAATATCTCATGGGAAAGCAAAAGAAAAGAAATCCCACCAAACAGGGACCGAGGACAAATATTGTTATTATCAGAAAATGAAAGTCCAAGTGAAGTAATTTCTGCATTTGGCCAGAAAATGAAAATGGAGATGGTAAATAAGTGAGGGTGAAAGTCTAACAGAGATAAAAAGCAAAGAGCAAGTAATATTAAAGTATTCCATGATGAAACTCAGACTAATACCATCTAAGATTTTTACTTGATGGAAAAAACGAGTGATATTTCATTTTTAACTTAATTCACCAATATTTAAAACACAGCAGTTTTGTCTCAAGTGTAAAGGAACTTGGATTTAGACAAATTTTACATACTGCAAAATAATACGAAGAGATATAAAAGTTTGGTGTGAGTTTTATTTCACACCTTGAAATAAACCAAAATTCACAGGTAATATAGTTTTCATTGTAAGTTTTTCAAACTATCTGTAATGGAAAATTCAAACATTTAGAAAGAAGAGACAATAGTAGACTGAACCCAATATATCATTGCCCAGCTCCATCATCAATCAATTCTTATTTTATATCTACTTGTCCTCTAATTCTGCATTTTGAAGCAAATCTGAGACATCTGTACACCTATAAATATTGCAGTGTGTATCTCTAAAAAATAAGGACTCAATTTGAAAAGACAATCATAGTATCATTGTAATACTACTTATAGTAAAAATAATAATCTACTAATTAAATCAAAACTCCAGTCAATGTCCAAATTCCTCTAAAAATTTAGTTTGTTCAAATCAGGATCTAATCAATGCCCATACACTGCAATTTGTTGATTTATCTCTTAAGACTCCTTTACCCTAGATGTTCCTTCCTCTCTCTGTTTTTGTTTTTGTTTTTTTGCAATGTATTGGTTAAAGCAACCAGGTGCTTTATTCTGTAGAAATTTCCCACGTTCTGAATTTTACTTATTTTTCTCCATTTTGTTATTTAACACATTCCTATGACCCCTGTATTTCCTATAAACTGGTAGTTAGGTCTAGAGACTTCATCAGATTCTGGTTCAACTTTTCAATACAATTCTTCATGGGTGATATGATGGTTTTAGTACATGTTCACAAATTCTTTGACGCTCCTCCCATAAAAAGGTGGAGAGGAGACTAACTCTCCTCCATTTGAATATGTGCTGGCCTTAGTGACTAGCTTCTCACAAAGACAATGCAGCGTAAGTGATGCTGCAACACAGCTTTTATCTGGTTCTCCATCTGGACAGGAAGCTGGAACCCAGACACCATGCTGCTAAAAAATCAAGCAGCTACGTGGGAGGGCCATGTGGAGGTGTTCTAGCCACAGCTCCAAAGAGGGTGCCTGCGGAAAGCCAGCTTCAACAGCCAGACATGTGAGTGAACAAGCCTGCAGATGATTCCAGTGCCTACCTTTCAAGTTGGCCTGGCTAACACCACATGCAACA